ATAATTTTAGCAATAAATTATTTTTGATTTTCGTGTTCATACAAAAACATTCGCTCTGTACTGGTCCGAATTAAAAAAAAGTGTTGTGTAGTTCATTTAACGAGGAAGGCTATACCAGGGATGTTATGGATATCCGTAACCGTAACCGAAACTTTCGGATATCCGAAATAAAAAAATATCCGAAACTGTAACCGTAACCGATTCAAAAGTTTCGGATAGTTTCAGATGTAGGCAGTTTAAATTGTTTTTTGTATAGCATTATATGTAAAGGCATAACAGCCTGATTTACCTTTATAATGCCATTTGGTATCAATTTTTATTTTTTTATTACTTTTTATTCGATGTAATGTGTGTCATGAATGAACCGTGTTGGACAACTATTGTAAATTGCATTCTAAAGAACAGATATCCGTGACCGTAACCGAAATAAAAAAATATCCGTAACCGTAACCGAAACCGATATAATATTATTCTTATATCCGTAACCGTATCCATAACCGAAACTACATATCCATAACATCCCTACGGCCAACAGGAGTAGAGCATGAATGAAAAATTATGTTGAAAAACAGGAAAAATCAGCCAAACTGTTTTCACGCGTACGAAGTCGCAGGCAGTCACTACTGGCACTTAACATCTTTTCCACCTTACAGAAAAAATCTAACACCCGTCGTATTCACAAACGATGCTTGCTTAAGTGAAGCAGCAAATCGAACGCACAGTGTTGAATATAGCTCTGTGATTGGTTCGTGTGTGATCCTGTGCGTCCACGCGCACTGTGAGACCTCATAGTAATATTTGTGAATACGGGCGTTAGTGTACTAATAATTATATAATAATCTAGTGGAATATTACCTACTGAAGCTTAATATTTACACATAGCACTTGACATTTAATAATATGTTTATTACATTATCACTTGAAGAATTTTCCTACTTGAATCTAAATCTAAGAAAGTATAATAATTATAATAATTTATTAGGTATAGTCATTCTTTGATGAGCGTGACAAACAACTGCTTTCTAAAAATGTTGTTAATTGGATTTGATTGATTCAAGAATGCATCCATCTTGTAGATATGCTGGTAATGAATCCGAGACCATTGTAAAGATGAAATAAATGTGTAAATAAATGTACATAATTACAGTCAGAACATTTGGGACTAGTAAGTAAAGCGTCGGTCCACTCACAAGGTGGACCGACGACCTCATAAAAGTAGCAGGAAGGCGCTGGATGCAGGAGGCCACCAACCGGCCATTGTGGAAATCATTGTTAGAGGCCTATGTTCAGCAGTGGACGTCCTATGACTGAATCGATGATGATGATGTAGTAAAGTAGTACAGTGGAATTTAGAGAAGAAGGAATTGGACCACCCACCCTCACTCTTTTCCGTGGATGTCGTAGAGTCTTCCTGCGACTTGGCCCACTTTTAGCTTGGTCCACGAGCCAAGTCGAACTGTTTAATGTTTTTTCTATTAGCTTGGTCCACGACCCAAGTAACCGGATTGAATTTTTAAATATTTTTTCTTCCGGCAACTGAACCGTTGACTTTAGAAGCATAGAAAGCAGAAATGCTGTGCCTATTTAGTTAAGTGTTCTGCAGAAAGAGATATATCTAAACATATATAACTCAAAGGTGACTGACTGATTGACTGACTGACTGACTGACATAGTTATATATCAACGCACAGCCCAAACCACTGGACGGATCGGGCTGAAATTTGGCATGCAGGTAAATGTTATGACGTGGGCATCCGCTAAGAAAGGATTTTACGAAACTCCAATCCTAAGGGGGTAAAACGGGATCCACGCGTACGAAGTCGCGGGCGGCTGCTAGTAGTACATATTATCATGTAAAAGCATTTTAAAAGTTCCAATTCGTTTTAATATCGGTGACTGTTGATAATTTATACTAACTTACTACTTGANAATTTCCCTAGTCTCGTAGGTTGCAATCTATTCTGCCACTCGAGCTGAAAATTCGTGTCTGAGTGTAGGATTGGTATGATACCATCATGAAAACTTGGCTAGCCTGGACCAATATTTTTACTTATGGAAGATAAACCTAACACCAACCTGGGGCAGTTGGTCGCCCTCCCGGGACTAGAGTTGGTTTCTGGGTTTGAGAGTCATGTATGATGTCTTTGTGATGAGTCTAGAATAACGGGGCTGTTGGCGGCTAGAGCCAAAAAGTTTTGGATTTGTTCTCTATGGAGGGATTTTGCCGTTATCACCATGCTTAGCAGGCTGGTTGGTAGTTCCAGTATGGTAGTATAATACCTGGAAAGATGCTGCAGCCCACCCTCCAGTATTTTGATTGCTTAGTCGGCTCTTACGACTCACATGGGAAGATCTGATGCTTTTTTAGGGTCACAACATAGGCCTGAATATTGTTTTTAATTATAAACATCTTTACTGGATAATAATACTTAATTGATTACAAATAAATAAGTAATTTGAGACAATCATCCATAACATTCCGAATTCCGCTGTATAAATAAATTTCGGTGCATTGATTCTTAATTCCGGTGGCTCAAATACAATTTCGGTGGCTCTTGATAATTTCAAATTAACATATCTCGAGAAGTATTAATAATATTTTGATCTCTACCATATCATTGAATAATACAATTTATTTACTATTATTTCTGCCACAAAAAAGTTTTGGAAAGTGGAAATTAAAATTCGCCACCGGAATTAGGCAAAAAACGAGTTTGTTGATATTCACCCACTTACTTTTGAAATGTAGCACTGGTCACTTTCTTTCGTTTTTCTGATGCATTTTAGACACCAAACCGTTTAATTAATTAAAATTCGTCGGACGTGTTTACCAATTTTTCACTTTGACAGTTCATGTGACGTTTACGGGTGAGCCGTGCCGGCTCCCTAAAAACTGCCTCACCTTTAGTGCACTGACTATCTATCTAGGTTTTATTAATCTAAGGCACTTGACATATAATAATATGTTTATTACATTATCACTTGAAGATTTTTCCTACTCGAATCTAAATCTAAGAAAGTATAGTAATTAAAATAATGTATACTCATTCTTTGATGAGCGTGACAAACAACTGCTTTCTAAAAATGTTATTAATTGGATTTGATTGATTCAAGAATGCATCCATCTTGTAGAAATGCTGGTAATGAATCCGAGACCATTGTATAGATGAAATAAATGTGTAAATAAATGTACATAATTACAGACAGAATATTTGGGACTAGTAAGTAGTAAGTAAAGTGGACCGACGACCGACCTCATAAAGGTAGCAGGAAGGCGCTGGATGCAGGAGGCCACCAACCGGCCATTGTGGAAATCATTGTTAGAGGCCTATGTTCAGCAGTGGACGTCCTATGGCTGATAGTGGTGCCTATTTAGTTAAGTCTTTTGCAGAAAGAGATACATCTAAATATATATAACTCAAAGGTGACTGACTGACTGACTGACATAGTGATCTATCAACGCACAGCCCGAAACACTGGACGGATCAGGCTGAAATTTGGCATGCAGGTAAATGTTATGACGTGGGCATCCGCTAAGAAAGGATTTTACGAAACTCCAATCCTAAGGGGGTAAAACGGGATCCACGCGTACGAAGTCGCGGGCGGCTGCTAGTAGTACATATTATCATGTAAAAGCATTTTAAAAGTTCCAATTCGTTTTAATATCGGTGACTGTTGATAATTTATACTAACTTACTACTTAATCGGTAACCTATACCAGCTATAAACTATAAATACTTACATTCACCGAGCCAACCGGTTCATTAAAAAACAAATTGATATCATAATACTAAAAATAACTTCTAGTGCTTGACCGCTACGTTTTCACTTACTTATAATAAAAAGTTTGTATCTAACTTGGTAGACTTGAATTAAGTGACTTACTTGACTTGACTTTATGTCCCCTAGATGGGGCAGAGGGCGTCCACAACTTAACAGTCCTCCATCGCGTTCGGTTTTAAGCTTCGCGTTTGGTCTTGCTAAGTCTTGCTGATTTTCTTCGCCTCGTCTGCTCATAGACCATAATCCTAGTGTTTTAAGCCAGATTAATATAATGGAGTTCCTTGAATAAATCAAAAACATTAACCTATGTGTCATGTAAACCAAAATGTAGGTATTTACTAGTTGGAGTCGGTTCAGTTTTTTATGACTAAACTCTGCAATTTACTGAGTTATTTTTATTGAGGTATTTCCCTTTAAGTTACTAACGCCCGTATTCACAAACATTACTATGAGGTCTCACAGTGCGCTTGGACGCACAGGGTGACACATGAACCAATCACAGAACCGCGAAGTTTTGCATCTTCTTTTGAATATCGGCCTAAAATGTGACTATCCAAAAATGATAAACTTTTTCATGCACATCATTGCACTACAACAACAAAAATGTAGGGACTACATTCATGTTAGTTAGTCATAGTGAATGAATGACATTTTATTACCTATTACTACTTAGTTGATAAGAGTTTTATTGATTCTAGTTGGCACCTTTTATTGCTGGTGACTAAATGCCCACTTTGTACATAAGTAACCGATTTATTATTGTACCTAATTAGCCCTTAATTTAAGTATCAATACCTCCCCCTTCTTGCCCTAAAAGTGGTATGGGAAATAAATAACTGCATACTTGATAGGATAATTAATATTTACGAGTACCTAATTTAAAAACAGGTCATTGAAAAATACTTTGAACTCTTTTGAAAATCTGTCATGCCTTTAATGCTTTCCTAAATTTATTGACATTCATTTAATTTTGTTTCAGTTCCTTTTCCAAAATGCCAAAAAAGAAAAACACGAAACAGACAGTTCCTTTTCCAAAATGCGAAAAAAAAGTAAACCACGAAACGGCCAGTTACTATCGACACCACATTATCGCACGGCATCAAAACATTCTTGCACCAATTCGAGACCGAACGGGAAACTCCGTTCATGACACGGCATTATCCAACCGTCTACCAGAGCCGAGGAGGGGGGCGACCCGACCACGCTCGCTCGCGCCGACACCGACCGAGTCGAGTTCAGTTGTCAACCGACAGCGCTACGAGAAAGACGCCTGCACCCGCCGGCGTGTTCTCCAAACTTACACGCGATTAACAGCTGCAGCTTGGATTACAAACTAAACTGAAAGTGTCTAATTGTGTACAAGTGTAGTGATGACATTTAAATGGAAACACCCTCTATATCACCTGGAGTAACCACAGGGATGGAACCGAGGGACCGACTTGTTGAGGAGATTCTCCTACTGGCACTATTCCTGGTGTCCACCGCGGCCAATTCCTTGGCTTTGCTGGTCTTCTGCAGACGGCCTGGCCTGAGGACCATATCCAATAGGTGAGTCGAAACTTTCCATAACTTTCAAAGTAAAAGTTTGCTTTGGTCCAACTACTAAATGGGCCTTTGGAATTCCAATGTTTACATTTTTATGAACGACAAATCGTACAAATTAATTCACTGTGTTTAATTTCATCTGCTTTGGTCTTAAATCATCTTTTCATGCACAGAACATAAAAATGTAAACTTTGACGGATTTTAAGTACAAAAATTTGAACACAGAAATCAATCAAAATCGGCAAAACACTCATTAATCAGTATAAATCTTTGTATAAAAAGTTATTCACACTTAGAACAATGCGAAACAAAACTCCGAGATGGCATACGAACAAACAAAACATAGAAATCCGGTCAGATGTTTAGACCATAATTTTTTGGGGTGCACCTTTCCTAGCTTGGGTTGCAGCCAATACTGGTTGTATTATTAGACGATTAGTGTCGTCCGTCTACCTGAGTTTCTGACATTTATTTTCAATGCTTGCTCTTGCAACAGTTGATTTATGAACTCATACACGTTGCTCAATAATATTGATGGTCACATAAACTTGTATTTAAGACTCAAATCTTGACATTTATCTATTTGCCAATTCCCCAAAATGTACAAGAATATAAGACTAGATCATTCTCCAGATCAAAGGTCACGAAAAGGTTTTTTTGTGCCCATTAAAAAAGCACGGTCATCTCAACGGTACTTCGATATTGGATGTTCCAACCGAACCATTATTAGCAGCAATTTTGCACGCCTCTCAAGGAAAAAGGTCTTGAACTTGCAAAATTCCACACAAAAACGACACTCGGAAATTTTATAACCAATAGATACTGTTCTAATTACCGATAACAACTTTAAAGTATGAGTAGAACGTCCCAATTCCAACTAATTAATCTAATAAAACAACTGCAAGCTTGTAAACATTAATTTATCGCCTAATAATTTGTGAATACAAACAAATAAACATCAATCTAGCATTCTAGCGGATCGTTAGATGGAAAATTACGATTTGCTTTTAATTTGGCCATTTAAAATCATTTGACCACAATCGAAACAATTATTCTTAAAACTGAATTCTTACTTACGGCAATTACAGCTGTAAATTGCTTTGGTCATTTCTTTTAACTCGTTAACGCTTCATGGACAAACGGACAGACGATGTCTTTGATTAGTAACGATCTCCAGTAACCTCAATTCAGAACAGCTATTTCTCAATCCCGCAACATTGTTTGGTGAACTTTAAAACCACGTGGTGTATACGGTAGTTTTACTTCTATCTTTGGACTCTGTAGTTATTTATTTACCTTACAACTTTCCTAGTGGAGCAATCCGTTGATAACAAGCTCCTCTCATGACTATGACTCACCATTCTGACCCTAACGATCGTAATAGAGCCAAAGTGATGACCGTCGGTTCAGAGAATTTATTGGCAGCCTCATAAATTTAAATACAGTTGCATTCACCAGTATTTGAGCACTAATAAAAGTTTTCCATGCACTCAATCTTACAACGATGATTTATGAAATTCATCAGACACTCCGAACACTAAATGAATCATGAATCAATTTGCTCAGCAATAAAAATCTGGTTCATATTCCAAACTTTTTCAAGCAAATTAAATGAGTCTCGCTAAGTTCCTTTCGGTGTTTTGAAATGTGACCGAACTCTTGTGGTTTCAACACCACGTTGTGGAATTTCGCAAAACTTTCATTGAAGGATCACGATCTGCGACTTGTGAATTGGCACAGAAAATATTAGGAGTAAGATGATTTTTACTTATGCAATTTTATTGTTATTAAATATCCGTTGTGACAAATTCAAGGAAATTTAACAGAAAAAGAGAAATATTCTGTACAGATACGTGTCAAATGTAATTGTAACGCATAATTTGTACATTTAATAAAAACATTCCGTGATGTTGCATTAGCACGGATTTCTTCATCAAGCTAAAATCACGTTATTTCGTTTCTTCTGTCTGAAAGAATTCAACGTGCAGGTTTTAAATTATATCTTATCTAGCTAGAACGAGATAGGTATGCCATTCCTTCTTTCACGAGCTATTTCTTAATTTGTATTTCAATTGTAAAGGAAACATGATGTATTCAGCTCGGTAATGTTCGAAATACAACAATTTATTTCTGTATTTGTAACCTTGTGGTTGCGAATTGCATTTGCCGTTGCAACTACAAAATTTTGTGATGAAAACATTCGTCAGCTGTCTTGTGGCGAATAGCTACACTTCACAATGACCAAGTACCTTAATGACCTGTCTGTCGGAGACAAATTGTTGGTAATCAAACGATATGTAGAACTAAAAGACACGCGGAATATTACAGAGTCCTTCAGACATCGGCCGATAACGATTGAGTGGAACAAATCAGTGAAAACGCATCAAAACATTGAAAACGGTTCATTTTACTCGATAATAGGATGTAGTAAAGATAAATGAATACATTGTAGTGTTATTCATGTGTAGTGAATCAAAACGAAGAATTTGAGGTATTTCCAAAGAGTAAACACTTACAAATGAACTTAATAAAGATATTGATAATGATGGTGTTGATCTCATTGTTAAAACACATCATGATTACGTCAGAAATATAGTGGGAAACTTCTTGGTACTACCATGGCATAGTAATCAGCAACTCCATTAAATAATATTTATCAGAACCTTATATTCTGCTATCAGTCAGCATACATTTCCATTATGCATCACGATGACAATAATGATACTGATTTTGAAAGACATTGTATGAATTTCAATATTTTGTTAACATTAATAAATTGCGTCTTTGTTCTAATGCAAGGGATAGAAAAAGACGGGTCGCTCAGATTTAACGAGCATTGACCAACTCTTTATTATGTAATGGTTAAATAGTTGTCAAGCCTATTCCTAATAAGGATTACTATTATCTATACATTATGTCACACTCGACATTGACACCTTATAAGAAAATGATGCATTCATAACAATTTACTAAACAGAAGTTTATACAAAGATTTACCGCGTTATCAAGATTTGTTTATTTGTTAAATATACACAGTGAATCAGAATTTATGAACTTTAAACCAGATAATGTTTGTATATGGAAGAAACCACTGCGGTCAGGTAGTCTCAACAAATTTATTGCCACTTAATGCATTGTAATACAGTATAATCCTACTTGACACCTGATTATAGGTTTATCTAGGAAAACTACTTACTTTGACGTCATTCTTTGGTATTTTTTAGAAAGATGCCTAATTTGGTTCAGATAGTATAAATTATACACGCCAATTTTTAACGACTAGTGTCTCAAGACAAGTTTTTTTACGTTCATTCGATTCGATTCTTAAAATAGCTTTTGCAAAATTATCTAAAATAGACTTGATAGAGCAGTTTTTATAGTTTGAACATACACAAACATAAATAAAGTATTGGTATTACTGATGCTATGAAATAGGAATTTATAATCTCAACGACTGGATACATTACAACAATAGCTAGATTCTAATACCATTGCATGCTCAGCATACATGGGAATAAATGAAGCAAAATATGTCCCTTTGTTCTACTGTATCATAAGTCTTAAAATATCTTTATTAGAATAAAAGTCACGATACTTAGAGTGATTACTGAATAATGCGTTATAAGTTTCGTTCAATTCAATCAAATAACGTCCACTTCTGAAAAAAGACCAAAGATTTCTAAAATATAAGTTTCGGAGTAGAATATTTATACTAGGATCTTAATTGAACCAATTTAGACGACAAACACATTATAAATGTTGATGGTCATCAAATCAATTAACACACTATTAGCGATACAGTAAATAAACATTTCCATCAAAGGGTAAATGCATCTTTAATGTCAGTTAATGATTGGCTAATATGTTGTTTTAGTTTCACGTTAATTAGGGAAGGAACCTAATTCAAAACGGTAGAAATAAAGTTTACGGTTTTATAACAAGGCCCTCCAACCTCCGGCTTCTAGAATTTACTTAAGCTACCGGTAAGGAAATTTATGCAGATTGTAGCAATGTTATTCACTTTACGAACTTCAAGGTATACATTTTGCCGGATTAGATCTGTCTTGATTTTGGATTAATAAATGAGTTTCTAAATGTTATTAGTCATAAGATTTGTCGATGTTGGATCAAGACACAAGCGTGCATGATTTAGAAGGTGCACAGGATGTGTCTTTTAGTATGCAAATTTCAACAGCAGCTGATCAATTTTCAACCTTATAGCTAGCAGTCTGCGTGAGCGTGTTGTCATGCGATAGACTCCATACAAACCACTCACCGAAGCCAAACTTACTTTACAGGTTTTGATTGTAGTTTCCTTGTTTTATAATATTCACAAATATCCTCTATTGAAAATTTGTAACTAAGGAAAATTTGGACTAATATTTTGAAGTCGATGATTGATTAACTCAAATTTCATTGCGTTCAAAATTTATTTTACCAAAAGAACAATAGTTTTGTTTGGTAATATTATCAAAGCAAGAATTAATAATGGATTCTGCTTCGATAGTTTTAATGTAAAACCCTTCAACGTTATCCTTGAATATTTGTAGGACATAACCGTCGTTTCAAAACGTGTTTTGTAAATACAAAATGACTTTGAAATGAATTTGGTTAACCAGCCATACTTAATTGAATTATTATCTCTAGATCTGTTTGCAGCAACTGCAAATTTTGATTTGCTATCATTATAATTAATACAATAAGTATATTGACAATGATTGTTTGATCTCCTGGGCAGAGTAATATCTGAGATGAATCATTCAACAATACCATGTTTAATATTGCAGATAGTAAATAAAATATCAACAGCTATTCTTCGTCGTGAGTTGACTAATCCCACAGACAGCACTGCATTCTTGACTAAAAAAATGAAATATTTCAAGCTGGCGATCAACTCTCCTCCAGTAATCCTTCTAATAGTTCAACCACCTTTCGCAATAATGATAATAATCATGGACCGAAAGCAGCAGTAACAAAACATTGCTCAACAACCTCTGTCGGCG